CTGCGGCACACCGGGATCTGGCCCTGAATCTTCAAAACTAGCAAGTATTTGTTCACGATCATCAGCTACATCACCAATACAATCGTCTGGATCGAGTATACCGGACTGTGTTTGTAAATGATGTACAGCTACCCAAGAATCTGGTTCCTAAAACGGAAGAGAGACAAAATAAAAATTATTTACATTTTAGAAACGTTCTAAGAATTTTTAATTATTATAAATGTGAATGCGTGAAGGTAAACATTGACATAAGAAGGCAAAAGGAAGTCGGCCTAAAACGGCAAACAAATAATAGACGCATTATGCATATTTGATGAATGTTGAGAACATTTAAGAATTTTTTATAAATATATGAATGCAAATTTGTAATCATTCAAGTTTAGATATTTTTTTAGCTTTGTTATTTTGGCCTGTTGAGTAACAGAAAATTTTAAAAACAAATTAAATTGTAACACTTTTGCTGGTTTATTAGTTCAATCATATTTCAAACTGGAACTCCATGGAGTACTGACTATTGAGCATTGCTGCATGTGGGTGTTCCACACTGAAATGCATGGAAAACAAATTTGTCGGTCTCGACTGTAATGACTTCAGCTCTGTTGGCAGTGCACAATCGCTACAATGCAACCAATGCAACGGCTACACCGAATGTGAGCAATGAGATCAAGAAGATGAAATTCCATTGCAATGAAACAGTAAAGAAACTCAGTTGGTTAACAGCTAATGCAATTGCATCACAGAAATGCAACGGAGCATGCATCAGAGGTAATAAAAAAAATAAATTTGTTGGGAAAGAATTCAAAAAGAAAAAAAAACAGCAATAAGCAAAATAAAAACGAAAATTGTTAACAAATTTATTTTATTAAAGCAAAACAAAAAAAATGTGGGTCAATTTTACAATCACATGATATTAAAAAAAAAATAAAGTAAAATAGTATTAAAAACTTTGGGTAAAACTAAAAAAAAAAAAGGTTAAAAAACTGCTGCGATCAGAGCAAGAAATGCACAAATTGTGCTACCGAAGCCCTTCTATTTCTCTAAATGACTCTTTGATTTTGTTGGACTCCTCCCATATGCAACTTTATTGTGTATATCTTTTTTTATTAATTAATTCACAATTTTATAAAATAAGAAAAATTAATTTTTATATGCTATTTAATGCGAAACATTATTCCAAATTGGCTTAATTCGAAAACGCGTAGTCTAGAGAGATAAGCTTCCAAGTATAGTACGCCTTCGGTTTTAATTTTGCCCTTGACTTCGACTTGATAAATAAAATATCATTAATTTGTACATATGGTCAGTCAGATGCACTTAATTTATCAATGCAAATCTTAAGCAATATAAACTTGAAGGCTTTTGATAGATTATCACCATTTCTAACGTGGGTATAAAAAAGCATTTTGATTAAATACTTTATGACACTGCAATAATTGCAACGAATACTGAAAATATGATTAGATTGATAAAGTTGGACATTACTTAATGTTATTCGGTACGATTTGAAAATCACGTATACAAAAATTTGAAATCAAGAAATTAGTCAGCTCCACCAGTGGAGAAAATCAGTTGAAAGAAATTATTATTTTTTGTAGTAAAATATTAACGTTTTCATTGAATATGGATTTATAATACATTCAAGACCAGAAGCAGACATCTATGATATTCTACAAGTGAAAAAATAATGATGTAATAAGCAGTAAAACAGAGTACGTGAATCTATTGTAAGTCCATATCTCAAAAATATTCTTTTCAGACAGCCGAAAACTATTTTACTTTTTTAATTCCTTGATAATAATAAATTCACAGATGTGCGTTTAACTATTTCTCCTATCAGAGCAAAACTTCCTATCGGAGAAGAATTATTTAATACTACTCTTACGGTATTTTATCAACGCTATGAACATAATTGACTCTATTACAAAATATTTGTAGAACACTTTAGATTTGGTATCAATTTAATAAAAATTTAATTTAAAAGTAGGAAATCTAGCGAATTTGTTTATAATGATTTCATAAAATTATATCTAGTGGGTGTTCAAATTGAATTGCAATTTTACAGAACTAAGCGCAAGTTTTATAAATCTTGCTGTAATGTCCTTTATCGCTTATTTAAATGTTTGATGGTCTATAACTTCAGAGTCATGATTTGTTTCAAGCTTAGACATAAGCACTAACCTTGTGATTATAGTTCAAAAACATTAGCAGAGAACGACCATTTATCATAAGGCTTCCCAAATGAACATAACCAGTGTTGCTTGATGTTTTAGAGTTATTCGATTATCAATATTTTTAATCGACTACTATTTTAAATAAACTATATACATAGTAAGTAATTTTGTTTATTTACAGATTTCTCTATTGGAAAATTTTTTCATCAAACAATTTTAGTTTTTATGGCAATTGGCAAGGTTCGTAAGAGCGCCACGAGAATTTTGCTCTATCGAGCTTAGTTCCTTTTCTAGTATTGATCAAGTTTATATTTTTTTTGGAACTTATAAAGTTTTACTTTGAGCTCATTGAGTATTTGTTTGTTTTCAATATATTCAGTTGAGCAATCATATGTGTTCCAGCACAAAACGCACTATCGTCAATTTAAGCCTTAATTTTTCAAATCATATTCACTTTTTCCGATCTTAAAATCAGTGTTTTATACTTATTACTACTATTTTCGTTATAACCTTCTGTGTTTCAAGATGAAAAAGTTGTAGTTTAAACAATAATTTATATTAATGTTAATTTTATTTTGTCAAAAGCAACGCCGTCTTATGACGAAAAGAAAGAATTTTAAAGTTTGAAGATTTCGAATAGAAATAGAAAGGCAACAACAAAAATTTTATTTAATTTATTGAAATTTGGCTGACCATATAACGCTGTTTTGAGTATTGTCAATTACTCATCATTAGAGGTCATAGGAAATATTCAAATTTGTTTTTTTTTTTAATTAGTTTATAGTCCGTATATATTTTGTTTGAACTACAAGTGCCAGGCTTATAATTCATATATATAAATGTATTATTATGACATGTTCTATAAATTACAATCACAATTCAAGAACTTAGTCTATTCACATATACTTTCCAGACACCCCTATTACGCGCTAATGCTCTAAGCTCGCTGAATGATTTGTTAGTTTCCCTGTTTCTCGATCTTCTATAAGTATATACATAATTTATATATTTATTTGTTTTATGTGTACCATTCTAAAAGGTTATATTGCAATTGTAAAATGATTTATGAAATAAAGGAAACTAGGACCTATTTTAAAAAATAAACCTTTTATAGATCGTTTATATGGAAATGAAATTGATTTCTCATCCTCATCTTTCTAATTTCATTAGTTACTACGTTCTTTACAAGTATATATCTTATGTAAAGGGACCCAGTATATTATCGCTGCGTTAGATTTTCAAAAAGTTGCGAATATAAGAGCATCTTCAGTTTTAACTTAAATAGCATCATTGTCTTCAACTGCAGAGGCTACTTGATACAAAATTTCTTTTAAAATGAAGATAAAGCATGTTCAGTAGTAGGTAGAGTAAGCTTAAGTAGTCTTGTATTAAAGTCAATATATAAATATATAATATGAAGTATCATCACTAAGCCAAGATGGCTTAGTTGTTATTGATATGGAATATGATTATGTTAAGTAATTCGCCTAGCTGAGATAGAACTCGCCTTATCAAGATAGTTGAAAAATCAAACGTAGTTTGATACATTTAGATATTTTTATTATTATCCTAAAATACTTATTTCTAATGATTTTGAAATATATATAAACATGTATATATGATTTTGAATAAGATTATTTAATTTTTATTGAAATTAGTATTATTTATTTATGCAACTATAGACTTTGATTTACCTTAGCAAATAAATACGGCGATGGTGGACGCTTGGGAGGTAGTGTCAATGAATACGATTTCTGAAGATATGCATGCGTAATCCCTTCATGCTTTTCGGATACTTTGTATGTATGACGCCAACCAAATATGCCGCTTAGTTTACTAGCCAAAGCTGGACATTTTGGTGATATATCAAACATTTTGGTATATTATTTTTTCTTAAGTTATGTTTTGTTTTGTGTTTGTGCGTTATCTTTGGTATGTTAGCCACACTTTTTTACTTTGGTTTACACTTTTAAGATCGTAAGTTTCGCTTACGACATTTTGTACTAAACAAAAAAAGATTTTTTTTATGTAAATTAATTTTTTTCACTTAATTGTATTTGAGATACTTGATACCGCGCAAAATGTTTTACAATTAAATTTTTACTGCTGCTTTGTTAAAATTTCTTTTAGTACTGAAGTAACTTTGCTTAAACGGAAGTTATTTTCTTATCTGTTTGCAATGCGACATACTTTAGTGACGCAATCTCATAAAAAGATATTAAAATATATGTACTATATACCATAAGTGTATCAGTTTTCTTTCAGTTCAGGTGTATTTCTTATCAATTAATAAACGAACGCATACTAGAGCAAATACATATTGATATTTCTAAAGTACTTATATGTACGCCCTCGTATTTTTTATTTTAGACTCTTGCATTTCTATTGTTTTCTTATCAAAAATCGACAAAAGTAAAAGTTCGTAATGCTAAGAATAGTTGATTACCTTTTGATAACTGATAAGGAAATTCCTTTTGTTATAGCCTAACATTCTTTGCAAATAACAATAGAGTACATATGTACAGATTGAATATAGTATTATATATACTTACAACCTCTTTTAATGTTCATATAATACCTGGGTTTTACTTTACGCTATCATTTATATTGTATCAAAAGAATGACAAATGTTTACAATCATATTTATTTACTTTTGACTTTTATCAATTGTTTTTTAAGTGTACAAGTTCAATAAAATAATTATAGAGAGATAAACAATTTAATAATATGAAATCACAATTTGAAAAGACAATAATAAATTGCATTAAAAATAAAAATTAAATAAGAAAATGCATTGAGTCACAAGACATTCGATATTTTACGATTGCTTCTTAGGATAATAAATGTTAGTCATTACTATGGAAAAATGCCAAAGAAGTTAGTGGTCACACTTAGCCATTATAATATAATGGCTAATAATTATTGAAATACGGACAATCTATTGCACATTCGAGTTTAAATTAAAACGAAATTTAATGTACGAGTATTTGTTCTGCTTATACTTTATTAGTTTGTCAAAATAAAAACAATTGTATTCAAAGCCAATTTTCTGTATTCTTACAGAAAAATTGTAAAAATTTGTGTTCCAACTTCAGGTGGACTTCAGTGTCACTATAATCTTTATATCAATAAGAGTTAAAAGTAATTATTTCTAAACTTTTAGTTAACTTGGCACACATAAGAGACATATATTAAGTGTTGAATATTTTTATGCATTATGAGGCAAATATAGCATTGAATTAAAAACAATGTTAATAAGAAGAATGGGAGCTACAGCAACATAACTCAACAGAAGAAACTCCGCCTTTCGACTGAACGCCAAAGTGACATTTGTTGTTTTCTTATATAGAAGAGCATTAAACGTTCCCGCGTGCCATTATACTTCTTGTCATACAGATTGAAGTTGTAGACAGAAAGTTTAAGCTTATTTTTAGCTGAAGATCCGAATGTTAATTGTTGGGATCCGAAAATAACAGACACTCCTGCGTGTCAATATCCTGATCCTCATACAGATTAAAGTATAGACCTACAAAGAATATGACTAGAAGCGTCAATCTCTTTCAACCCAAGGCGCATTCTGAGGTGGATGTATGAAGTATAGAATATAATTATTCCAGTGAATTTTTCCAACAAATTTGGTTTAAATTTAGCATATCAGAGTTATTGAGCGTTGTTGGTTCAGAATAAGATTTATTACTTCTATATCTTTTCAATGCTTAATACAAACTAAATTATTCTTATAAAGTAGTACATATTTTTATAATAGACAATATTAAAATATACAATTTTATTTTTAGTGCTATATATATATATATATATATATATATAAATATATAAATATATTTGCTTTAATTGTCTTAATGCATTGTATTAAATAGATAATCAAAAATTCCAAAAAATAATTTCACAACTTGATTTAGCAATTAAATATTTTTGGGATTTCTAAACATTTGGAAGCCAATAAATTATTAATAAAGAGCTAGCTAATCAGTTCATTAGTATGAAACCTTGTAAAGTATTTCATATATTGACGAATATTGTAAGATAAGGTGTTAATGCATAGAATGAATATTTAACTATTTTATGAAAAAGTTTATAGATAATATGATTAATTGCTTTGGTGATTACACCACAATGTAAA